TGTATGTAAGTCAGAACTGGCATCCAGATTCAGCCGCTGTTGAAACTGATCATTTTCACCAGCTGTTGAAACTGATCAGTTTCAGCAGCTGTTGAAACTGATCAGTTTCAGCAGCGGCTGAATCTGGACGCCAGTTCCGACTTACATACAGATTCAACTTAAGAACAAACCTACAGTCCCTATCTTGTACATAACCCGGGGACTGCCTGTAGTCCGCCGGCGATAGAAATACGGATTACCAGGCGAGCCTCGCTTTTGATTCAGGGATCATTAACACCTAGTTAGAGCGAGTCTAATTCTATTCTAAATTAACGTTATCCCGTTCCCTGTGTAACACAATGGAACCAATGTTTAACCGACATTTAATAAAAACAAATCCTTCCAAGACTAGCTGTAAGCCAGGACTTTTAGTGGTTTTCCAGGAAGAAATTAAGTCAAATCATTGTGATTTTCTACTACATATTTTGTACAAAGTAACAGTACAGAAGCACCATAAGTTACAGCATCTTTTTAAGAGTATTCAGAATTTGAACATTGCCTCTCTAAAGCTAATGCCAACAAATATTGATTTAATACTACTACCTAAGATTGAGCTTTATTCCAATTATAAAGGCATTAATAGGTGTTAATTTACTATATATTTTAGAGTTTATGAATGTCTGTTTGCATGTCCATCCATCTGTGAATGTTTGTTCAAGAATGCGTCCTAAATGGTAAGAGCTAGGACCCACAAATTTGGTAGGCAGCTTCCTTTTATCATTATGTACAGGAAGATCAGGGTTTGGTTGTGCCAGGACAATGGGATGTGCCTGGAATAAAATTGTTTTGCATCAAACTGAAAGGGAGCAGGGTGATAGGGACAGTTATACTCGCTAATGACCCACAAGGAGACAGCAAGCACCCCGAACCTGGTGAGCATCTCTGGCAGGAGCATGGCCCCTGCAACCCTGGCCCACCCCAGGGAGCAGTTGCTGGCTACCTCCATGCTGGGTCATGCAGTCCCTGCCGCTTGGGCTTTCCTCAGGGAGAAGCTGGTGGGTGGGTCACATGGCCCCCACTTCCGCAGGCTGACACTGGACAACATAAGGTAACTCTTCTAATTTAAGATGTCAAGAGTAGACACTTCTTTCTTCCTATTTTATTTGCCCCTAGCTCTTGCGTTAGTGGAAAAAAAGAAAGCAACAGCTGCCTGGTTATTTCTAAAAGTTCAAAGGTTATTCCTTGCCTGACTGTATTCGAGTGCAGTTTTCTTTTTGAACCATTCCTAACCAAAAAATACTTTAGGCAATTTTCTCTGAGTCTCTCTAGCCCTCTCTCCTTTTTAAGGTTTGAGGAAAATATGTTAATAGGTTCCAGGCTAATACAGAAGTGGAAAACGGTCTTCTCTGTATAGACGTTTCAGTAAAAATCCTCCTAAAAAGTCTCTCTATAATTTTTTTATCAGAGACTGTAATCATAGTTATAGGAATAACACTGGAGACATTTTGACAAAGATTATATATACACACCACACCACAAAAGACCATGAAGCCCAGTTCTTTAGTCATGCAATTAAATAACTGCATCATCCAAGAAGATCCAAAATAAGGAACATGTACATTAGAAGTTAGAAATCCAAGATAATGCTTAAAACATAGTTTGACCATGAAGTACTGTAAGCATTATCTTGGATTTCTAAAACATAGTTTGACCATGAAGTACTGTATACACCACAACTTAGACAAAAATTAATGTCAATTCCTGTCCTCCCTCCCCTTTACATGCAGGAGGTTTACTTTACATAGTCCCATTTTCTCAACCAAGATTTCTGGTATATATGAACTTACCATTTGGTTGCTGAGCAAAAGCAGTCTGTTGTGGGAAAGCTCCCTGGGCTGGGAAGGTAGGCTGTTGGAAATTGCCACTGAAGCTAGTAGGAAGACTGTACGATGCAGGAGTTCCAAATCCTGCAGGCATGCTCATGGACGCTGTGCCAAATGTTGCCGCTGGTAAGGGAAGGAGCATTCAATTACTTTTTCATTTAAAAATAAT